TTCAACAAAGGAGGCAAGAATATACAACGGAAAAAAGACAACCTCTTTAACAAGTGGTTCTGGGAAAACTGGTCAACCACTTGTGAAAGAATGAAACTAGAACACTTTCTAACAGCATGCTTCTAATATATACAAAGTAGTTGGCTGAGCATTCCCACGCTCTGATGAAAGAAACCAAAACCAAAAAACCAAAGAGCAAACACTCATTCTGTTGTGGAATCACCTGGAAATCTCATGGGATAAATCAGAATAATGGTCGTTTGTACTCTCAAACTTGTTTTTTTTCACCGTGTTCTTTCAAGTGGTGACTGGTTAAAATAAATGCATAGTTGTATTCTTACGCCTGAAGTAAAATGAATTAACTTTGCCAAGCATTGCGAGCTCTTTCCCGTCTGCCATATTTAATGCTTACTAAAGACTGAGGACTTTTCATGTGACTTAATTTTGTTCTTTCTCTGCAGAGATGAAAATTACGGTAGGGCGGTGCTCCACAGACATAATTCCCACGATGCCTTGGACAGGTAGGTGTTTCAGACAAGTTACATCATTAGCAGAAACACAAAGACAGTTGTTTCTGAGAGTAGACTTGTTTAAGGTTGAATACTGGTGCCTAGCCACAAGCTTTCCTGACGTTCTGGGCACATGAAGGAGAATCTGATAACATCAGGAATTTTCACAAAGCAAACTGTGCTTCTCCAGCTTTATGCTCCTAAAATACAGCTTGGAGGTGTAGAATCATCAATCCACGGCCCCCCTTACCAAGGTGGCCTTCCTGACAGGTAACAGCAAGGGCTCCCACAGAAACATGATGAGATAAGATATTTCCGAGCCTTAGAGAAAGGAACCCTAAAAGAGAAATAACAGCTGAGTTCACTTGCTTTATAGGACAGTATGTTTCTTTTCTGTGGATCGTGACTGCAGGCATGAAATTAAAAGACACTTGAGACTTGGAAGGAAAGCTCTGACAAACCTACACAGCATATTAAAAAGTAGAGACATCACTTTGCCAACTGGGTCCATAGAGTCAAAGCTGTGATTTTTCCAGTAGTCATGTATGGATGTGAGAGTTTGCCCATAAAGAAGGCTGAGTGCTGAAGAATCGATGCTTTTAAATTGTTGTGCTGAAGAAAACCCTTGAGAGTCCCTTGGACAGCAAGGAGACCAAACCAGTCAATCCTAAAGGAAATTAGTCCTGAATATTCATTGGAAAGACTGATGCTGAAGCTGAAACTCCAATACTTTGGCCACCCGATATGAAGAACTGACTCATGGGAAAATTACCTGATGCTGGGAAAGATTGAGGGTAGGAAGAGAAGGAGGCAATAGAGGATGAGTTGGTTGGATGGCATCACCGACTCAATGGACATAAGTTTGAGCAAACTCCAGGAGATAGTGAAGGACAGAGAAGCCCAGTGTGTTGCAGTCTATGGGGTCTCAAAGAGTTGGACATGATTTAGCGACTGAAAACATTTCTTTTCAGAAACTCCTAGGCATGTGGAAAATCACTAAATGATACTCAGTGACCAGTGGCCAGACAAATGCAAATTAGTAGAAAAATTTAAGCAAAACTCGTAGTCACAATGATGTAAATAACCTAAGATTGATAAAATGAATAAACAATATTCTTACTAAAGCACATTGACACTAACACACATACAAACAACCACACCCAGCAGAAGAACCTAGTTATTTCTCAGACATAAGTTTTATTTTGTTCAATAGCCAGTGTCTACCACCAAGACATACTGAGTAAAGGACAATGATTGTTTTTCATGGTGGGGCTTTAAAAAGATAAGTAGACATTGTAAAGTAACTGTTGTTGTTTAGTTGCTAAGTTGTATACAACTCTTTTGTGACTCCCATGGACTGTAGTCCACCAGGCTCTTCTGTTCATGGAATTCTCCAGGCCAGAATACTGGAGTGAGTTGCTATTTCATTCTTCAGGGGATCTTTCTGACCCAGGGATCAAACCCATGTCACCTACATTGGCAGGTGGATTCTTTACTACTGAACCACCTGGGAAGCCCCCAAGTAACTATACTCAAATAAAAATTAATTTAAAAAAAGTTAAGTGGACACTTTGAACATGTCTATTTTGGAATTTTTGTCTGTGGATTTTTTAAACCATTTAAAAAATGTTCAGAATTTTAACATGTCCTAATTGCCAACAAAGGTCCGTCTGGTCAAGGCTATGGTTTTTCCAGTGGTCATGTATGGATGTGAGAGTTGGACTGTGAAGAAAGCTGAGCACTGAAAAATTGATGCTTTTGAACTGTGGTGTTGGAGAAGACTCTTGAGAGTCCCTTGAACTGCAAGGAGATCCAACCAGTCCATCCTAAAGGAGATCAGTCCTGGGTGTTCATTGGAAGGACTGATGTTGAAGCTGAAACTCCAATACTTTGGCCACCTCACGTGAAGAGTTGACTCATTGGAAAAGACCCTGATGCTAGGAAAGATTGAGGGCAGGAAGAGAAGGGGATGACAGAGGATGAGATGGCTGGATGGCATCACCGACTTGATGGGCAGGAGTTTGAGTAAACTCCGGGAGTTGGTGATGGACAGGGAGGCCTGGTGTGCTGCAATTCATGGGGTCACAGAGTCGGACACAACTGAGTGACTGAACTGAGCTGAAGGGTCCTGAGTTTACCCCCCTCTACATGAAGTATCCCATTGGTTTTTGGGTTCCCAGCCTTAGTTCTTCTGTTTGACTGTCCTGTGACCTGTCCTGAGTCTTCATGATTTTGAAGCTTGTGTTCTTGTTCTCTGTTTGCCCTCTCTTACCAAACAAAGGGAACCTGATAACTTGAATCCAGGCACTAGTGGAAAAGGCACCCTCCATTGTATTTGCCTTTCTCTGGAACTATTAAAGAGCAAACTTGTTGTGAGGCATGATCAGGAAAACTAAGATTCGTGTTCTTAATATGTTTCAAGATGGACAACATTCTGGCTAAAGCAGCACATTTAACTGTTTTATCTTCACTATGAAAAATCTATAAGCCTGAGACATTTCCCCCGGACTCCTTGACTAGTATCTCAAATGACATCTTTATAAAAGGTAGTATTGGTTATTTTTCTCCTTGCATTTGCTCAAACAGATGTCTGTGTGACACTTTTCCATCCTCTGCAGAGGTTGTGTCCACTTTGGTGTTCACCCAACACCACTTTGAAGCACCTACTGTGTGCTGACACTGTGCCAGGTGCTGGGAATACAAAGATGCATCAGACACCAGCTGCAATCTTAAGGCACTCTCATATTTCATGGAAAAAGATGGATCCATAGACACAAATACTCAGATTTACCATGGAAAGTGCTTGTAAAAGTCTGGGCCATGCTATGGGAAGAAGCAGAGGGTAACTCTGGCTGAAAGAGTGGGAGCGCTCCCTGAGGAAGTGCTCATTGGTGTTGCTGTTTGAAGGATGGAAGATGTTTCCAAGTAGGAAAAAGTAGCTGGTGGGCGAGTGGCTGGGAAAGAGGCATTCCAGCAGAAGCGATAGCATGCCCAAGAGTTCCACGTGAGCAGAGACTGAAAATAAAGGAAAATGAATAGTCTCATCATGCTAGAAGATAAGCTTCATAGGATGCACAAACAACAGGATATTTTACTGTGTCCTTTCTCTGTGAGATCATTAACATGTGTTGAAGGAGGCAGAAAGCACAACAAATAGTACCAGTGGAGATGCCCTTCGGAGCCAGACAATATTCTGCAGTCTGGGAACAAAACAAAACCCTTGCTTCCATAAAACTCCAGGTGATTCAAGTGAAAGTCGCTCAGTTGTATCCAAGTCTTTGTGACCCCATGGACTGTACAGTCCATGGAATTCTCCAGGCCAGAATACTGGAGTGGGTAGCCTTTCCCTTCTCCAGGGGGGTCTTCCAAACCCAGGGATTGAGATTGAACCGGGTCTCCCACATTGCAGGCAGATTCTTTACAAGCTGAGCCACCAGAGAAATCCAAGAATACTGGGGTGGGTAGCCTACCCCTTCTCCAGCGGATCTTCCTGACCCAGGAATCGAACCGGGGTCTCCTGCATTGCAGGCGGATTCTTTACCAGCTGAGCAATCAGGGAACCTTCCTAGTTAAAGGTAGAGGAGAGAGAGATTGAATGTAAATGAACACAGTGTGGTATGTCCTGTGGTGATGAGTACCTGGAAGAATAAAGCAGCTAATGAGACAAAGCTATGGCATCTGTGAGGGGCTATTTCCTGGATGGGGGTCAGTTCCATCTGCACCCATGCATTACACCTACTGATGAGTCTCACTATGACTTCACTCTGAGTTTCCTTAAAAGCACGAGAGATTGCATTAGCCATTTTTTATAAACATTAGTCTTTCCTTAACAAACACTATTCCCTCTATCTCTGTTCATTCGTGTCTGTTTATCCTCCAAGTCCCAGCTCAATGTGTATCTCATCCAGGAAGCCTTCTCTGATCCCAACCTCTCCAAACAAGCTTTCTCAGCTTCAAACTCCCTTGTACTTGACCTGAACCTCTTTTCTGATACTGACTGCTTTCTATGCTTGGAAGTACATGTCTTACTTGTCCCTCTAGCTCTGTGTGTGCAGGGTCTATAGTTAATTCATAACTCATTCCTCAGCTGATGATATACTGCTGATAATATACTGTCATCAGTACAGTATATGGTTTACCTGCAAATATTTGCTAAATAAAGATACACTACATCAAGTTAAAAATTGCATCTTAAATAGTATACTGTTTTGGTACATTTTCTGATTCAGTACCTTTGAACTGTCAGCTTCAAATGATGCTTTGAAATGCAAATACAGTCAATCATGGTAGAATTCTCCAAAGAGCTTACTTTCCCTGTATCACAGGGTTAAGACATTGAACAGGCTTTTCTTGCTGATTGATCAGTCTGATCAAGCTATCTCCAGTGCTTTGATGATCATGGTTCCTTCTATAATTTTCTTGTCTTCTCTCTGCTCCCTCTTTTTCAAATTATCCGTCTGTCTCAGCTCTCCACCGCTGTCTCTCCTCCCCCTACTTCTCCCAGGCTCCCCTCTCTTCTCTTCTTCCCATCCGTACTTTCTCTCTTCTACCACTTTCCTCTGTTCATTTTCTTCCTATGTTTCCTGTTTCTCTCTTTTCTTCTCTCTTGCTCCCTCTTTCTTCCAGCAAGTCCTCTTCTTTCAACCCTGTCCACGGTGCTGAACTCGTAATAGACTGATTGGTATGTAGCCGTTGTGCTGGCGTAAGGCTCTGATGAAGCTGTAAACACAACTGAGCGGATGATAAGGGATTGAGTTCCTATTACATAAAAATCAACAACAACCCTGAAAGTGGTACATATGAGTAATTAATTCTTTTGCATGTGTGTTGCTTGTTTCACATATCCTTATCCTTGATTTGAATATGTTACATTGTAATTAGATTAATTGGATCTAAAGAAGAATTATTTTATTAGCATGGGGAATTGGGTTTGCTAATTTATCCTAGTCAGGTCAAAGCCTGGGACAATTTTGGTACTCCAAATATGTCTTTTCTTGGTAACAACATATATATCTCCAACCCCAAAGGGCAAGATTTTACCAAATCTGTGGAAGTTGTGTAAACTATTTTTTATAATTTACTTGATCTTCCTATAATTATTTTTTGCTACAGGAAAGCAAATGAGAGGGAAGAGCCAAAAGCCACAATCAGTCGGTACAGATCTGATGACACTTTGGACAGGTAAGGTGTTTTGAACCAGCAAGTGGAATGCATAACATACGTTAAATCCCATTTCTTATGAGGCATGAGGCAGCTAAATGTTTACCAAAGTGAGCTTCAAACCATGATATTTTATCCCCAGGAACACGAGGGCTATAAAGATGGAATTATCTACTTCAAAACTCACAAAATCTTAACTTGCTATTTTCCTAAAATCTTGCTAGTTTTTATTTTTTGTACTAATTGATAGTACATCAATAGGAAAAATTCTAAAGGAACTGATTTGAGTATAGATGGGACTGGCACTGAATGTTATCTGCTTAATTTTAAAAAGAGAATATAGTTTTTTTTGTGTGAGTCACCAATTCTTGTTCTAACTTCTGTTTTTCCATTCCAGAGGCAGAGAAACGGCAGTTTTTGTTTTATCTGTCTTATGGAGAGACTATACATTTTAATAACACAGTAGTTTTGATTCACTCTAGGATAAAGACATTAGCTCTTTACTCTAGAAAGTAAAACTGCTCTTTTGGCCATGGAGTCACCACATGGCTATACATGAGTCATTGTGTTGTGGCTGTTGTTGGCTCACTCCTAGATGGAAGGAAAGGAAGGGCTCATAAATAGAAAACCAAGGAATATCTATTCAGGTTGAAGTGTAAATGCTATAGGTCACATTTAAATTTTATATCTGGTAGAGGTGCTTCCTAGGTGGCTCAGTGGTAAAGAATCTGCCTGCCAATATAGGAGATGCAGGAGACTTGGGTGCAATGCCTGGGTGGGGAAGATCACCTGGAGAAGGGCATGGCAACCCACACCAGTATTCTTGCCTAGAGAATTCCAGGAACGTGAGACTGGTGGGCTACAGTCTATGGGGTCGCATGGAGTCAGACACAACTTAGTAACTGAGTACAGAAGCGTTTATTAGGCATAGATAAAGAACAAGGTTAATATCTTCATTTGGAGTCTAGACATAGTGAATGTCTGAGGCCATCAATAGTCAAAACCACACCCCTGTAAGGTAAAGATGTTCTATCTTTGGAAACAAACATGCAACTGGCTGCCCTTGCAGCACATACACCGAAACTTACGGCATCTAATAGATTCCATATTCAGACCAGGCCAATGTCAGTTAATGCATGCACTTCTGCACTCTTTATAGCCTTCTAAGTCAATCTCCCTAATAGTGACATCTCTCTTGTAATTAACAACCTTGACAAGAGTCAGTTTGTGAAAGTATATACCCAGGATCTCATCCCCACAGCTCCGAGTGAGAGAGGAGTCACAGTGCTTCTGTCTGTTCATGTTGGCTTTGTGGGCTGTCCTAGTGCTCTATTAATTGAAGCAGGAAACCCTACTTCTAGGGATGAATTTACAGTGAGATAATTATATCTCAAGAAAGGTAAATATGTGGGAGACCTAAGCCTTTACAGACTGTGTGTCTGAACGTCTATATCAGGCCAGTCAAGATGGAGCCTTAGAACATCAGCAGTGAACTAGACCAAACGTCACAGTCAAGTCAGTTAGTTATTCTCAACCGCAGCAGCAGATTAGAATCACCTAGAAAGTGAAGATGTCAGTCTCTTAGTCTTGTCTGTTTACTACCTCATGGACTATAGCCCACCAGGCTCCTCTGTTCATGGGGTTCTCTAGGCAAGAATATTGGCGTGGGTTGCCATTCCCTTCTCCAGGATATCTTCCCAACCCAGGGATTGAACCTGGGTCTCCAGCACTGCAGGCAGATTCTTTACCATCTGAGCCACCAGGGGAGCCAAATCACCTAGAGAGCTTTTTGACTGCACTAATAATTTGGTTCCAACAGCTCTTCTTCCCTAAATCCTAATCTAATTAGTCTGAGGGAGACTTGGGCATCTTTTAAAGTTTATGACGTGATTCTGATGAGCAGCCAAAATTCCAAACCACCAAACCAGTCCAAACCCTTCATTTTAAAACCTAGAAAATGAGGCCAGAGATTTCTTGCTTTATCTATACAGAGGATTAGCAGTGCATGTTTGGACGATGAGCTACTTCCCCAGGCAGTCCTATCTGCAGCTCACCCCCAGCAGTGAACTGCATTCATCTCTCCAAGTGTGGACACAGGTGTGAGGGAGAGAACACAGACGAGGTAAAGAAAGGCAAGTCCTGGTAACAGGAGTCAGACCCCATCATGCAGGGCACTCCAAGTATAAGACATAAAGTAATTTTAGGAGGAGGATGATCAAATATATTAGGAGTGTGCATGTGCGTGCCATTTTAGTACTAATGTGTGTAATAAAAAAATATGAGAAAAGTAGTGAGTTACCTTTAAAGAGTTCCCTTTTAAAATATATATGTGTTGGTAAAAATGTGAAGTGTTCTAAAGAAACATAGGTAATCAATAGTATACCGTACCATTCAATATGGCTCAAACCCTGAAGACTGGTTCATAAGAAATTTGGAAAAAACCTAGGTTAGGGAGACCTCTAGTGTTATGTTGTGGAAGTGTAAGTTTTCCTTTGGTACTTTTGATCATGTTGCTGATTATATTTAAGTATTTCCTGTCTCCAAGACTGACTCCTATTAAAACCATCTATCTCATATCACAAGTTGATAGAAGCTTCATTTCTAAGGGAAGTACCAAGTTAATCTCCCTAAGAAGTGAGAAATTGATGAACACATTGGAATGATGGTTAAATTGACGAATACATTGGAATGATGGTTCTGTCCATTATGATTTATATTATTTATATAAATTATTATTTGCATATACATAATTCTTTATATATTATTTATATACTGAACCCCCTAGTGTTGCGAAAGAGATAGTGGAGGTGAAAAATAATAACTGAAGAAAGACATGTTGCTCACGAGTGTTGCAACAATTAGAGTACAGAACCAGGTGGACGGCCGTGGGCCCTACTGGAAAGACTTTGGAGACAGACTGCTTCCTGGTTGTACGACCAAGAGAAAGCCACTCACATTCTCTGAGACTCTATTTATTCATCTATAAAATGAAAATAATTACGTCTACCTTGTAGAGATGTTCTGAAGAGCAGAGAAAATTGCAAAGAGCAGTAGGTAGCTATTTTGATTATTCCATGCTATATTGCCCACAAAGATGAACACTGTAGAATTTTGATTAACTTCATTTAATTTTAACATCACAACTCTCCTTTATTTAAACCTTGAAGATGTTTGAAATTAAAGTTCTGTTTTCTTTAGACAGATTGTTATTTTCAGGGTACCAGAGTAACAATTTCCCAGAATTATTTTTATCTTCTATGAAGATCTCATAGATGGCTCTAAAGTCTGAGTAGTTTGCAAGGAACATTTAAGTTTTACAATTTAGGATTACAAGACATCATGTTTATGGTATTCACCATGGTTTACTGCAAAACCCTTTAAATATAAATATATCAGAGGCTCAGTAACAATTACTGCAGAAAATATACTTGTAGTCTTTGGTCTAATGATCACCTGAGTGATCTTCATGTGGTTTTTTTTTTTTTTGCACATCTGTGCAAATCCTGTATTAAAGCAACAACCAAAATACAGGATGGCTCAAATTTTTTTTTCACTGCTATATCAACTTAAATACTAATCATTTGTTTATACCTTTAAATTATTTTTAAAAGTTATATATTTATAATTTAAAAATCGAGTGACATTTCGATCCAGATACATTTTTCCACCCAGACACATTTTTCCGTCTTATTTCCCACTTTTAACAAAGGACATCTAGGACCAGAGGGACAGCACATCAAACATAAGTGCCAGCACCCTCTGTGAGCAGCAGCACTGGAGTGTCTCAGAGATACACTGAAGGTTTCCATTCCTCATTTACTACAAATAATTTATACCAGCATATTCTCATACTTAGTTGCTTTCTGTTTTTACCTTCTCTATGAGCTTCAATTTCAATGGTGGTATTATGAGCATTAGACCCCTTACATATGACATCTCTTTTAAAAAAATCTCAATTAAAGATCATTATCCCCATCATATGATATTTTCTCATATAACAGACACTCAATCCTTGAGGAAGCATAACAAGCGATTCTGTTTTATTCCATTGCCGCCCCCCCCCACACACACTAATCTGTTTAATCCAAACCTTGTTAATCACTGTAGAAACCCTACAAGTCATTAGGAAGATGAACTTTGTTATCTACTACAAGATTTTTAAACGAACAAGTGAATATAAAAATGACTAATACCTTGAAGATGGTGGTGGTTTAGTTGCTAAGTTGTGTCGGACTCTGTAATCCCATGGACTGTAGCCTGCCAGGCTCCTCTGTCCATGGGACGTCCCAGACAAGAATACTGGAGTGGGTTACCTTTTACTTCTCCTCATCATGAGTTTTAAATGTGGATTCATTCTGTGCAAGTTAATAACTAGATTGTGAACAGTCAGTTGAGAATATGGAGCTCTGGATGATTCAATGTTCCTTCCTTTTTGAATTCAAGAGTTACCAGTTTATGTTCAAGGTATCAGCATTATGCACCATAAACAGAAATTATATGGGGTTGACTTGGGGAATTTTCATGTATTACTGTTAGTTACCAAATGTTTTAGTTATACATGTCACAATGACATCTAGGAATTGAAATAATTTTAAAGCTGGGACAAATAAGCCATATTTTTCTATCATGAGGTTTTTTAGAAAGGAAAGATTATTGTCCATCTTCCCAGGAACAGTTTATATAAAGCCCTGTAGTAAAGTGGATGCTGGGACTTCCCTGGTGGTCCAGTGGTTAAGAATCCACCTTGCAATCCGCAGGTTCTATTCGTGATCAGGGCACTAAGATCCCACATGTGATGTGGCAATTAAGTCTGCTCACCAAAACTACCAAGCCCACCATACTGCAAGGAAAGATCTCGCTTGACACAAGAAAGATCCTGTGTGCTGCAACTTAGACCCGATGCAGCCTAAATAAATATATAAATATTTTTAAAAAAAGAAAGAAACAACCCTTTTCCCTTTCTTCTTGGCTCTACTTGGTCTTGGTCTCTGGTATTGCCACGCAGGCCGGGTCAAGTGGAGCCAAGAAGAAAGCTCTTTCCCAATAATTTTTGGAGGTCTTGTGAGATTAAACAAGACCAATAAAAAAAAAAAAGAAAGAAAGAAAGAAACAGATGTTATGTACTCACCACCATAGCTTATTTTTTTAATTCCATGAATGATAAACATAACAGTTTAGAGAAAATTATATTAATAGTAGACCCATAGTGTGAGATCAGCAGAAGACTCTTGCTGACCTTTTGTTTTCCAGAACCTAATTTTTCCCCATGCTAGTATCGTGCAATGTGGGGAAGGGAATGACAACCCACTCCAGTATTCTTGCCTGGAGAATCCCACGGACAGAGGAGCCTGGTGGGCTGCAGTCTGTGGGGTTACAGTTTTGTGCAAGCCTGCAGAATCCAGAAGACAGCCTCACATCTCAGGAAGAGCTTGCTTTCTGATGTGCTTTTCTAGAGCTTGCAGTTGTGAGATCCCTCCGCTGGCATGCAGGCTACAGGATTCCTAATTTGTCTTCTGACCCCAAAGACAGACAAACACACTTTTCCCAGACCTACTGTCCTATGGAGACCCAAGTTTAGAATGTTTTACACTTCTGATGGCCCCCAGGGCCTATTAACACTATGTGTTAGTCAATGTAAACAAATTCGCCAGGGTAGAGCAATTCTTGTGACGAGTTCTCTCCCCTGCCTCCAAATCTCCGTGGTTTAGCCCAATAGGAGATTATTGCTTGCTCTCAGCAGAGTTCAAAGTGATATCCTAGAAGATTAGGGGAACTCTCTGCTCCATGAAATGACTCAGAGTCCTAGGTTCTTTCCATGTTTTAATTCTGCCATCTTCAACCCATGAGCACCAAAGCTACAGGAGAAGAGGAGGAAAGAGCATGGAGGATCATGCAAGAGGTTTTATGATGGTTTTGGGAGTCATGAATAATATTTCTGTCCACATTCTTTAGAACTCAATTACATGATCCCAATATACATGTACTGAAGATTGGGATATGCAGTCTTCCTGTGTGCTCAGAAGGAAAACAAAGAGATTGACAAACATATAGCATTGTCTATATCATAGAACATTTTTAAAAATTTCTTAAGTCTTCCATTGATTCCTTTTAGTGACATAGAAAGTACTGTCATTGGGTAGATAAATGACTAAACAATAATGAAAAGGAAATAGTTAATGAATTAAATGCTCAATGAGTCAGAAAGGCTAGCTGAAAAGCATAAACTTTAAAAGTTACAAACTGTATCAAAATGGCCTAATAAATAGATTTTGTGGTGAGTATAATAGTGTTTTTTTTTTGTAAAATTTTCTAAAATGTAAAACCTGAAAAGCAATTGTTTTTACTAGAGAAAGGTTATGTTGTGAAGTGATTCTGGCGTGAAAGAGGTCTAAGAAGAGTTTAAAAACCTGAATGTTGATCCAGACTTTTGTCTTATTTCTTTATAAAGGATTTCAAACAGAAATGATGCTGCTAAAACATATAAGGCCAATACCCTGGATAACCGACTAACCAATAGGTACCAGTATCTACTAACTTCGGGAAACGGTCAAATACAATATTTTTCTAAGCATTGCTTACTTACATACAGTTCTTCAGTCCTACTTAATATCTTTCTGTAAACCCTTATCCTCTATTTTTTAAACAGAAATAATTCTGGCATGAAAACTTGGCTCCTGCTCATGGTTAAAGAAAAATAAAATCTTATTCTTGGCTTAAAAATGAAGAGAATTCATCGCTTCAGGCCATCATTCTTACCACATTTATGTTTCTGTTTAAATCATCCTGGTGGCAACATTATAAAATACATGTAAATGTAAATTTTACATTCCTATTGTAAAAAAATTATTGAACCCATCAAAGAAAAACACTGGGCTTAAAAGATGAAATTTCTAGAGGAAAAAACCCTTTTTTTGGAATCTAATACACAAAAGGTGAAAAATCATGAGATCAACTTTTCAAATATATTCAACTACTGATATTTTCTTTTTCTTACTCACAACTAATGTTAACTTTTAATAGTGATAACTCTATATTCATGGACAACTGCAAATTGATGCAAGAATTTATTCTTTGCTGCTGATCAAACTTTGCCTTCTCGTTTTCTTACCAGAAATGTGTCCACCTTTCAACCACCAGAAGTGACAAAGACGTATGTACTTCTTTAACTGAGCTTACATTTTAAAAATAAAGTGTATTTCTTCCTATATGCCCAAGAAAAAATCAAGGTATATTGTCTTCAGGCCAAAGTTTCATTGTGACACAGTCATGCCCCCACAGCTTTGACAGGTTGAATAGTATTGACAGAAATACTGAAGTGGTCGGCAAAACTTAAAGTACTTTCTATGTGGACTTTAACACAGAAGTTTGCCAGCTTCTGCTCTAATCAAACACTGAAGCTTACGTCATTCTTTACTTCTTTTCTTTTTAAAAGTCTAGATTCTTTACTTCTTTGCCCATAGAACTGTGAAATTTTTTCCTGCTCCTAAGGCAACTCTTTCTTCTTGCACATTTCACTTGCCTCCCGAAACACCCATCACATCTACAGCTCAGCTGAGTCTTGAAATCATGGTTTTGCTAACCCTGAAATGTACTAATGGTGGTTATAAGCAAGCAAAGTAGATATATTTTTGAAAACTTGGCTGATTTTTAAATTTGTACTTTCAAAAAATGTAATTTTCACCCTGAACTGCCTTCCAGTAGTTGAAACAGGCCTGAGTCACTTCAATTTTTTGAGGGTCTGCATATATTAACAAATGCTAAATAGAGATTTGGCTTCCCTAGTGGTTCAGACAGTAAAGAATCTGCCTGCAATGCAGGAGACCTGGGTTCGATCCCTGGGTCAGGAAGATCCCCTGGAGAAGGGAATGACGACCCACTCCAGTATTCTTGCCTGGAGAATCCCATGGACAGAGAAGCTTAGCAGGCTGCGGTCCATGGGGTCACACATAGTCAGACATGACTGACCAACTAACACACACACACACACACACAGATTTAAAACAGTGTGATTTTTAAATGTTTTCTTGAACAAGCTAATGTATTTAATCCAAAAAAAATTGTGATATAATTCTGTGAGTCACAGCATAGACAGGATTTTAAAATATTTGTTGGAATCCATAGCACATAGAAATTGATTGGTCTGGGTTTCAGACACAGCATGTCATGTAATGAAAGACTTCTCCATTCAATTCCTTCTGATTTAATTATTTGAATGAAAGCCAGGTGATTTGTAAAATGGGTAAACTAAGGAAGAACTTTTTCTGTTGTTCTTTCACCCTCAAGTGAAACATTTTGTGGTGGGAATAGGAGTAGATGGTAAGTCCTTTCAAAGGTGAGATAAAATGAAAAGTTTCAGGAATGTGCTCACTGTTTGTTCTTGTGACAAAACAGGCAACCTGGAGGCTTGTCCAGTGCAAACGCCACCAACACCCCAGCTTCCACCTCCACTACCACTCCTGTGAAGAAGAAGAGGTAGGATGGGCTTGTTGGGAGCCCCTCTCACTGCTGTTCGATCACAAATTATTCTTTATTAATGTCTGAACCACATCATCCACCAAGGCCCATGAGCAGCGTCTAGAATTTGCTCTCTGCCCTTCCTCCTCCTGCCCTCCTCCCCTTCCCAGGGATCCTGTTCCTACTGTCTTCTGCTGTCTTCACACCTCAGCCCTTTCCCCCTCACTCTCCTTTTCAAATATGCCATCTTTTCCTCCAATTTTATTGAGAAATAATTGACATACATTGCTGTGTAAGCTTAAGTTGTATAGTGTCATTTAAACATATTGTGAAGTGATCACCCAATATGTTTAATTAACATCCATCATATCTTCCCAGGTGGCACTAGTGGTAAAGAGCCCTCCTGCCAATGCAGGAGACATAAGAGACGTGGGTTCGATCCCTGGGTGGGGAAGATCCCCTGAAGAAGGGAATGGCAACCCACTCCAGTATTCTTGTCTGGAGAATCCCATGGGCAGAGGAGCCTGGCGGGCTACAGTCCATCGGGTCACCAAGAGTTGGACACGATTGAAGCAACTTAGCATGCACAACATTCATCATCTCACAGAGCATCCATTATGTCAATAAAAAGAAACACATTTCTCCTTTTGATGAGAACTCTTAAGATCTACTCCCTTAACTACTTTTCTATGTATAATGAAATGATATGAAAGTGAAGTCGACCACTGGTGTCTGACTCTTTGCAGTCCCATGGGCTGTAACCTGGCAGGCTGCTCTGTCCATGTGATTTTCCAGGCAAGAATGCTGGAGTAGGTTGCCATTTCCTTCTCCAGGGAATCTTCCTGACCCAGGGATAGAACCCAGGTCTCCCACATTGCAGGCAGACTCTTTATCATCTAAGCCACCAGGGAATCCTATGTATAATACAATCATGGTAACTGTAGTCATCATGTTATAGATTACAACCCTAGAACTTATAACTTCTTTGTCCTTTGTTGGATGATATTTCAAATGGATATAAAATAAGTTGGTCTAAAGGAAAAATAAAAAATGTAAGTTTTTACCTTTCGGCCACCTTCCTCCAATCTCCCTCAATCCACAAATCTGATCTTGTTTTCGTATGTGCCATCTTAGGGGCTTGAATAGCAGGGTAATGTTTTGATGCTAGAGCTCAGATAGTAAAGCAACAGAGTCCTACTACAGGTACTGCCTTATCCTGCATAACGTCTGCAGTGTGGCCAAGCGTCACTAGATTCCAGCAACCAGTCTGCATCTTGGAGGCCTCCTCTGCTCTGTAGATTGGGCTTCCTCCACGTACAGGGTCAAAGGTCCTATCTAGAGGCATCAGCCTCTGTGTACTTCTTACCTCTTCCTTCAACTTCCCTGTACGGCCTTCCACTTTCGCCTGTGCTAACTTCCATTTATCTAGTAGGCATGGAGGAGGAGGTAGATCTTCGGTGGTAGAATCTTCTTTATGTGACACAGTGTGATGGTGGGAGTGATTTTTGCATGTCAAAGAGAACACAGTGCCAGTGAATTGTGACATGAGTGGAAAACAAGAATTCATGAACCTCGGAGCTTTTGAAATTTTCGTATGTTCTTGGCTTGCTCCTCTGACCACACTTGGGCTTCCCAGGTGGTGCTAGAGGTAAAGAACCTGCCTGCCAACACATGAGACGTAAAAGACATGGGTTCCTCTCTGGGTCAGGAAGATCCCCTGGAGAAGGGCATGGCAACCCACTCCAGTATTCTTGCCCGGACAATCCCCATGGACAGAGGAGTCTGGCAGACTACAGTCCATGTGGCTGCAAAGAGTCAGAAACAACTGGAGCGACTTGGCACGCACACACAGGACTAGGCCTGGTGAACACCAGACGTTCAGCGCTTGTCGATGATCTGGCTGACTGTCAGCTGCTCCTGTAGTCCTCCTGGAGGGAAATGACTGATTCTATTTTCTCCTGCAGATGAAATTTTGATTGTGTCTACAGAGTCTCAGGAAGTAAGATTACCCTTCTCTTGGATCCAAATTTCACATTCCCCCTGATCCTTTCTTTGTCTGTTAGGAGAAACTGAAAGGGAAATTTAAGGTCAGTTAGTTCAATCTCTTACCCAAGGCAAGAATCTTTCCTCTGACAGGCTACGCATCATTCAGGACCATTGCAGGAGAAACATGACTCTCACCTTTGTGGTGTGCCTTGACTAAGCTCTCCAGGGTTGCACTGAGCTGAAATTGGCTTTGATTTACTCCCATCCCATCTGAGCACAGTCCTGCAATCTCAGAGAATAGACAAGCTTCGAGAATTTAAAGGACTCTCCTGTCCTTATCCTTGATCTCCCTTTTCCAGGCTATCTTACTCTCCTCCGAACATCATTTTTGATCTATAACTTAGTCTTTTTGACAGAGTCCTTAGCTATCTCTACCAATTAAAATGATGTTTTAATAATGGGAAGGCATCTTTCTAATTGGATATACGTATGTTTGTGTACATGTATGTATAAACATGTGTGCTTCGTTGTTCATATGCATCTATATAAAATTGAGCTTGGCACTGCTATGGCATTCATTTATATTTTCAATATTCTTACTTTCAGCATTTCCTATCATACAGATTTTTTAAAACCATATTTTGAGTAGAACATAACAGCATTGTTATTTTTATTACAAAATGTTTCAGAAATGCAGAAAAACAGAGAGGTGTGTTGATAATGAGCACCCATGAACCTACCATATAGATTCAAAGTTATTATTTTCCAGATTTCCCGCAGATTTCTTTTTAAAGAAATGTCTACATTGTTTAGTGTCAAAGGAAATGGGCAAAGGGATTTATTTGGGAGAGCAGATTGCCTGGAATCCTATGGCAGGAAGTAGATAGTTTTCATTTTATCTCTAAGACCTTGTAGGAGAGTCATCTCATTGCCTTTTTACATGTCAATTTATTTTCAGCTTTTCCTGGAAGACATGTGGGTGGGATCAGGTCTTCCGAGCACGGTGTTTATAACCGATGTCATTTCTTAACAGACAATCCTGGTTTCCACCACCCCCTCCAGGTTACACCACCCCAAACACAGGAGCAAGCAGAAGGTAAGAGAAAGATGTCAGAGGTAATTGCTATGTAATATGATGGAAGAATGTGTTAGACAGTGACAACATATAATTGTGGATGCTTTGGAATAAAGTGGAGGCAATTTTGTGAACTCTGAGTTCTGAACAAGATAGTGCCCAATGAAAGTGAGGTCAGGGTACAAGTGTGCCTGGTAGGAAATCTGACACGCTTTGAGGAGTAAATGACTGTATTTTTAGTTTGCTAAGGGTTGCTATAGCAAAGTACCATAAAGGTGGGTGGTGTGAGAGAAATGTGTTGTCTCACAGTTCCAGAGGCTGGAAGCCCAAGATCAAGGTGTTGACAGGGTTCCTTCTGAGTGTTGTGAGAGGGGATCTATTCCACCCTTTTTCCTGGCTTCTGGTGTTTTCCTAGCAATCTCTGATTTGTATAAGAGATTGTACAAACCTAGTTTGTATAAGAGCCTTCCTGGTGGCTCAGATGGTAAAGAATCTACCCGCAAGGCAGGAGACCCAGGTTCGATCCCTTGGTCAGGAAGATCCCCTTTAGAAGGGAATGGCTACCCACTCCAGTATGCTTGCCTGGAGAATTCCATGGACAGAGGAGCCTGGCGGGCTACAGTCCATGGGGTAGCACCATTTCCATTTCCACCGTCATCTTTCCATGGTGTTTACCCTGTGTGCCTGTCTGTGTCCAAATTTCCCCTCTTATAAGGACACCAGTCCTATCGAATGGGGAGTCATCCAACTCTGGTATAATCTCATCCTGACTCAGCCACTTATGTCCATGACTCATGTCTTACCTATTTGTGTCTACTAATGACCCCATTTCCAAACAAATTTGGAGAGGACCTCATTCGCTCCATTGGGGGGCAGGGGAGAGAACAGGGGCCATCACTAGGTGGGCCCCACTGTGGGCTCTGGGGCACAGTCATTTTTGCTCTGATGAACCCAGATGTCAGGCTGGGAATGTGTATGGCAAGTTCTCGGTAAACTTAAAGTGACAGATGGGTGGTGTTTGTTTGCTTTTACTTTTTTGTTGCTGTTGAGAGCAATAATTGTAACTAAATTAGAGAACAGGTGGAGAACACCTGGTTGTACAATTTCCATACTGGGAATGTCAACAACTATTTAACTTAATAAATATTTAATAATAAGTGATTACTGTATGCCAGATATTGTTCGAGGATCTTGGGAGATATCAGTGAATAAAACACGGAGCCTACACTCAAGCCTTCAGAGAAACAGACACGGTGTAGACCTCTCGTAATTTATGTTGTCACTAGCACTTGAAGAAAAATAGGTCTCCAAGTTGGTTTTGCTTTAGGTATCCAAAATTATTTTCATGTCATCAACGCCTAGAATATCTTCACCCAATATTTCCATCTTTAAATGGGATTCATTTTCCCAATTCAACACTTGGAAAAAGGTTATGAAGCAGTGCCCTTGTTTCATACAAGACTGTTTTACTTCCAGAAATTTTCATCTGTTGCACAGGCTTTTGATGTGTCTTTTATTTCCAAATAATAGGTATATTTGGAAATAAATGTATTATAATTTAAGTTGAATCTATAAGGACATAAATAACTTTAGTTGACTAATAGACAGAAAGAATTCAAGTTGTCTTTCATACCTTTGGCTTCATCTGTATATATGTGTGTGTGTTCATATGTATTTTATTATATGTGTATAACATGTATAAAATTATTGGATATGTTGAATAATCACAGCTTGGAATTATACCAACCTCCTCTTAAAATATTTTCTTTTTAAACCTGTTCATCTTTTTAAACCTGTGCATGATTTCCAACTATATGAACTGCCAAATATGAATTATGTCTCTAATTTATAACCTCCTTTCTCCTCAGGCTGTGTTTAGATATTTCTCCATAAGTGGTACCTTTCATGGAACTACCCAAGTTATTATTGTAAGATACCACTGTACATTCCATCCAATTTTGTCTTGATAGACAGTAACTGATACTTAGAAACATTAATTACTTATTTCCCAAATAACTTATTTTTATCTTTTATTTGTTATTCCATTGTTCATGTAAATTATCATCATAATAAGCAACTATTATATAACTGTGTAAAGATATGAAAGGGTGGTTCATGCACTAACATCATATGTGTTCAGTGCCCATTCAGCTACGGATCACTGTTTGCACAGAACTGATACTGCCTGGCTATATGCCCTTATAATTTATGCATAGCTGGATGTGATTTACATGGAAGATAAAATAAGTTACAATGCTTCTATTTCTGATTTCTGGATTAGATGACTAGCACCAGATTTAATGGAGAGAGAAGATTATTGGATAAGGTTGATGAATTTAAATATCCACTGCTTTCTTAAAGTCACAGATTATAAGTATAATGGCTAGACCAAAAGACTTCTCTTCAAGAATCAGAGCTAATGTTATCCCAAGTTTTCAGGGAAAGGAGAGAATAATAGCAATATAGCAATACCTTTGATTTCTAAAGTGCTTTTCCTTGGAACAACTCAAAGTACTGCTTCTGTTTCTTACCTTTAATACCAGTGCATTCTCGGGGCTCAGAAAGAGCCTTTTCAGCAGAAGCCAAAAACTAGAAGCAATTATTAAATGATTAAAGGAATCAAAAGTTTCAAAAAGAGATCTTTATCCCCAGAATAACAAAAAGAAGATGGAAATAGGTCAAGAACAGATAAAAATGGAGAAGTGTGACCTTTAATACTAGTTAATAGCCAGTGCTAACTTTATTTCCCTTCGACCTTTACTTATTCACTGGTCTCCATCTCTCTTTCTCCCCTTTCTTCTCTTCTGCAAAAGAATTTCCCCTTAATACCAACACCCACTCTCATTTCTGTTCTTCATTTTGGGAACCTTCATTTTTCCATCACCTGATCTTTCCCAGAAATTTCATCTTCTTCAACACACCCATTCCCAGTTATTACAAGGAGAGGTCATTTTCCTGAATGTGTTTCCCCTGTAACCTCTGTGATTTTGACCCCATGGACTACCCCGTTCCTCAGCTGTCCCTTTCTTGACTTACGTAGGGTGGAAGAACCAAACTTAGTTGTGTTTGGATTGACAACTTGTGTTGGTGTTGTGTTTGGATTAAAATCTGTTACAGGCATGATGTAAGCTGCACCCAAAGGGTCTTAAACTTTTTTATTTATCAACGTAAGATCCCGTGATATCACACTTCCCTCTATATTTATATGTATATCTGTACCTATAACTCTACAAGTCTGTGTTTAAGTCTATAGCTATTGATATTTCTATAGCTACATCTAGAAATATATCTACATCTCATTCTGTCTATATAATTAATAGGTTGGTGAATTCAGTTCAGTTCAGTAGCTCAGTCGTGTCCAACTCTTTGCAACCCCATGGACTGCAGCATGCCAGACTTCCCTGTCCATCACCAACTCTTGGAGCCTACTCAAACTCATGTCCATCACATCGGTGAATTCAACTAGATTTTAAATGAGCAAGTTTAATTTTCTAATATAACTATATAGTAGAACTAAAGAAAAAAAGCAATTTCTTAAAACAAGTATCATTTTATGTATGACACACATTGGTCTTGCAATAAGAAAGTTGAGATCTGGTGATCAAACAAAATTTTGGAGTTAAGACTCAAATATCTCTGAAAGTCTCTTGCCCCCTTTTTGATAAAACAAGTAGAGAAAGAAGCTGTACTTCATGATAGTAAAACACAGGTAAAGTTCTGAACTTAAATAAAACTCTTTCTAGCTGATTTCTAAGGTAACTCCTTAGTCCTTGAATGTAAATGTTCTCTGATCTCTTTCTTCTCTCGTTGAGAAGGGAAAACTCTAGCACAGGGTTTTGAATGACCAGCCTGTATGTGCTGTGTATGCTTTGCTTAGTTAGAGGACAGGCTCCTCTGTCCATGGGGATTCCCCAGGCAAGAATACTGGCTGGAGCAAGTCACCTTGCTGTCCTCAAGGGGATCTTCCCAACCCAGAGATTGTACCCAGGTCTCCTGCATTCAGATGGATTCTTTACCATTTGATCCACCAGGGAGGCCGTGAATACTGAAGTGGGTAGCCTATCCCTTCTCCAGGGGAACTTCCCAATCCAGGAATCAAACTGGGGTCTCCTTCGCTGTAGGTGGTTCTTTACCAGCTGAGCTACCAGGGAAGCCCGTCAACCTGTGTCAACAAGATTATTTCCTCTGAAATCCTCTTTTCAACTGCCATCAAAACCTATAGTTTCTTTTCATTTTAATCAGGACTGAATCAAATTTTAGCTCTACAACTTTTGTTCCTCATTACATTGATCTGTCTCTCCTTCCTCTATGATCACTGGTTTACCCCCTTTCCCATGTTCAAATCCCTTCCATTATTTCAGAATATTACTTCTGTTTTAATGTTTTGGTGTAATGTAATTTGAGCTCTATGTATTCGAGATTCTGAAATACATATAAAAGAAATACATGTGTCATCAATATAGAAAATAGTTAGAAGGTCAGAGCCAGTGAAAGTTTTTCCTTTTCTACTTGTTTCATTTTAAGATTTATCAGAAAGCCTGATGCAAAGCAGTTTGTCAGCAATCACTAATGTCTATCTTAATTTCTCAAGTTCTTAAACTTTTTCTCATCTTTAAGTCTTTAAAAGAGTGATAACATATGTCAGGACTTGAACCAATGGTGTGGATGATAGGTGCCATTCGTGAGAAGTGCTCAGTCAAATCACAATAAAATATAGGTGCAGCATTTCTAGGAATTTATTATTAAAGTCACTTCTGATTTTAGAACCCACCTTTAACTCTTGGTGTTCTGTTTACGGTAAATTTAAGTGCATAGGCCTTTGTACTCGGGTGATGCGGACATTCAGTGCTTTGATGGCATACGAAGCTCATTTAAGAAACTCATAGAAGCCAGATTTAGGTAGCAGTTGCTTAACAGACAATATGAATGTTTACAATGTTACCCATTATAGTGATTCTGGGGCAACAATGAAGCAAACCACCAGCACCAACAAAAAAAAAGAAAGAAAAAAAACCAATGTG